GGAACAGATATGTTAAAATATTTCGATATGGGTCCAATGGTAAAAACTATTTTTTGGATTAAGGCGTCGTTCTGTTGATATTTCGTCTGTGACATTGCATAATACAGCTTTTGGAAGCCAATGTGGTTGCTTTGTATTGAATCAATCAGTCGTTTTTATATTTTAAATTCATATCATGTTATTAGTGTTTCAGAAAACAAATTGTGGTTTCAGCCAGAGTGCACAGGCAGTGGTTCTGATGGCCAAGTGGGTCCCAGCCCACGAGCATTCCACGTTGCTGTATCAATTGACTGTCATATGTTCATCTTTGGTGGGAGATCTGGCAATAGAAGGTATGCAGATGCTACATAACTCATATTTTGTGTATTATAATTGTTGCTTCTGCCAATGCCTTTAGTTGGGTATCCTCATTTTCAGATTAGGCGATTTTTGGGTTCTGGATACTGGTAAGGATTTCTTTCTACCTTGGCTATGTGAGCTGCTATGCAAAGAAAAATGCATCATTATTTTCTATTTCATCTTTTCACTATCATTGGACATTTGTGAAAAGTTCACAATAATCTCATTGATATTACACCAAGTTGCAGTGCAGGTTTACATCAAACCTCCTTCCAATTATACAATATTGGATAGCTCTTTTGCCTAAAATATAGTAATGATCAACAAGGAGTTGTTAATCATCCATAATGGATTTTCAACTCCTTCAGAAGAATTCCTTTCTCTCTCAAATCAACCAGAAGATGCATAAAGGATCACCCTTCAGCTCCTTCCCAGTGTCCATCTTCCTTTACCTCCAGCGCTCCGAAGTTTCCTCCACAGCTCTCAGTAGAGGGGTATGAAAAATATAGTATGCTATCCGAGTAAAGCTGCCTCTAAGCCGTATAAAATCCACATTCTCACTGATCAGTGTTTGCTTGGCAGAAACAACACAAATTAACTAGTGCCCGACTCATCCCCTGCTAGCTATCCGCTGTTAGTATGGCGTTCTAAGCTGCAAACCATGTTAAGAAAGTATATTTCACTGTCATCAGACTTGGGTCTTGATTTTTTTATCTCTGCGGTGCTAGATATATGGCAATGGTCAGAGTTGACAAGTTTTGGTGACTTACCTTCTGCAAGGGATTTCGCAGCTGCTTCAGCCATTGGAAACAGTAAAATTGTTATGTAAGTTTGTCTTACATTTTGCTGGTGCTTATGTCTTATCCTTCTTTCATTATTTTTTGGCATTGATTTGCATGCAGGTATGGTGGCTGGGATGGTAAAAAGTGATTGTCATATGTCTATATCTAGGACACAAGTACTGTCTTTGATAGCAACTCTAGGTTTTCTCTATCCTTTCCTTGTGTTAGATAACAATTTATCCATAACAATTGGTATGAATTTTGAATAGTGTCTCTTGAGTGGAGGGAGTTATCTGTTTTAGGAACTTTACCCCCACCTAGATGTGGCCATACCTCTACTATGGTCGAGAAAAGATTGCTTGTCTATGGTGGTAGAGGTAAATATGGATGATGATTTTGATTTACATTTGCCTTGGAAATATCATGTTTGTCTCTGTAATTTGCTATTCAGCTATTTTCATATACTGTAAAGGTTTTATGTTGCTTAGAAAATCTTGAGGTCTTCTACGTATTAGGTTGAGCGCCCCCCCCCCCCTCCCCCTTACAGTCTGAATTAAAGCAGTTTATCAGCAAATTTAGTTTGACTTAAGCATACGGGAAAATTTCACAGACACTTTATATGGTGAGTGAAGTTAAGGATTTAAACTTGCACGTCTTTGCTACATCCTAAACTAATATGTTGAAGGGAATGAAGCTCTTAAATGCCCCAAAGTAAATGGTTCAGTGCATGGGCGTCCAGAGAAATGGTCTTGAAAGATTTCAATATAGCAAGGAATTTAACAGAGTATGAGATCCATTAAGGAGAAGTCTGAATCTTTGTATGTTTCCTTGCCGTAAGAAAACCCTTTTCAACTTGTGATGTTTCCTTTTTCTGGTATATTATCGTTGGGTTTGTAAAGAAGAGAAGATGTGATTTAACTTCATCATGTTGCTTCTTGAATTGGCATGGCATGTCATACATTTTCAGCTAATATTTCGTGGTTGTGCTTATCCAGTCTTACAGAAATAGGAACAAATTTTTCCTAGAAAATATGAGTTTGGTTGCCCTTGAAGAAATACTCTAGTTCGTATAGCTGGAATTTCTATTTTTCATTTACTGCTTTCCAGTAATTAGTCAACATTCTTTTGGATCACTCACACGTTATTTGTACCGTATCATCTGCTGTAGTTAGTTTGAATTGGTTTTATCTTTCCACTTTCTTTTTTTCTGGACTTCTCTCTTGAAGCTTTTATAACTATTTTTCTTGTTTAAGCACTTAGCTATATAAAAACTTCTGATTTTTCCGGAAGGAAGAGAACGAAAGCCCTGGATGGACCAACTGAAGCTTCCAGGTCAAGCTCTTACAGCGCGTTGTGGACATACCGTTACATCTGGAGGACTCCATGTAAGTCCTTTTCATGGTGAAAGTCATGGCATGCAAAACTATGCAAGTTAATAGTTGGAATATAAGGAGATAAGAATGAGTTAAAACTGTTCTTGGGGTGTTGCTGTTTATCAGCTGCTAGATGTGTTACATCTGTCTTGGAAATATCTTTGAAAATCTATTTGCAGTGAAAACATAATTAGCACGTCTGATGCGTGCAATTTTTACTGGCAATTTTGAGTTTGTTGATGAGGTATAATTTCTTTTAGCACATATAACCCCTTAAGAAAAGAATATTAAAATTTTTATTTAACTCACTTTTTTTACTCTGGTAGTAAAACTAGAGGAGCCGAAACCCTTTGCAAGTAGATGTGTTGTTGCCACTTTGAAGAGTTCTAAAAGAATAGTGGTGGAGATAATATCCAAACTTCTGAAATTCCTTTCCTTATACTCTCTTGTTACTTCTTAAGTCGTATATATATATATATATATATATATATATATATATATA